TCAATGAAGAAAAAGAAATCGATCCGTTTGTTTTTGGAATTGAAATTCCATTCTAAAATGAAAGATTGAAATATAAATACTGTCATTTTATTTATTTGTCATACCTTTTGAAGTTCAGCAATGAGTCTAGGAATATCAATGAATTGTTCTGCTCGAGTTCCCTTAAGATTAATATTTGTCGAATTATTATTGAGATGAGTTACAATATCACGAACATGAACATACATCATTAGTGAAACAAGAGTTTTTGATGCTATCTTTGGAATAGTACAATACATCAAAGATTGAGATTGAAGAGGAAAAAGGACTGCATTAAGCCATGGATATGTACGTATCAAACTGGCAGACGAACAGTTTGTTATATTATTTTCTGATGTATGCAAATCATTACATTTACCGTTGAGTATTTTCGAACGATGCTCGTAGATCATGGGTATCAATACATTTGAGTTGGTTTTCATCTTCAGAGTTTCTACGGTTGTTAGCTTTTTATTTGTAATACAGTAGTGATGATGAAATTGAAATATGACTATGAAGCCCATAAAAATAACTCCATACAAATAGTATTGCTTGCATTTTTGAAGAGTTCCGTGATGGTGAATAAAGTTATGGAGCATTTTAAGTAAAGTTCTTGAATTTTATGATTGTAAATATTCAGTAATAATCTGCTTCGCACTTAACAGAATCACAAATATGACAATATTCTAACTTCTAAAAATGAGGACAATCGTTTGTTAAACATGACTTAAAAACCGTGGAAGAAAACTAGAATACGTAGCTGGATGCGTCTTCATCTTATTTCTGTCATTACCTCTGGTATGTCCTAAGTAATTCAACGTATTCTATTAGAAATTGAGGTAAGATTTCCTTGTTTTAAATGTAAAGTTGGAGATAGTACATAGTTTTTTTGGATTGATCATAATTATAAGAACACTAACGATTCAGATAGATAGAGAAGTTCATTCCAAATAGTTTCATAAAAGAAACTTTAAAAAACTAAACCGTTATTAAAGGTTTTCTTTTATGAAACTATTCAGAATGAACTTCTCTGTCTATATACTTTTCGAGTCAATCTAATGTATCTTTGATGTTCTAATAATTTTTATTAATCAAAAAAAAAACATATGTACTATTTTCAACTCTATATTCAAAATAAAGAAATCTTACTTTAATATCAAATACATTACGTTATACTAAATAAAAATGGATATATTAAAAAACTTTCTGTTCTTTTAATTAAACTAGCGAAATATATATATAGACAGAAATAAATAAAAGACGTGACAAATATGTGGTATTTCTTTTTTCATTCTTTCTCAACGCCCTCCGTTTTGTTTACAAAGACTTTTTCATTGTACGTTAAATAATTCATACTTTTGATGAGAAAAAGTACATCGAAGGAAGAAGGAACCTTTAAAAGGACATTTGAGCTTGCGAGAGAATAAAGCTAGAGTCTAAAAAGAAATTCAAATAACGTCTAATTCTATTTTGTTGAAGTGTGACACTGCGTCATAAATCTATGAGTTAAGAAATAGTTATGTCACTGCTCCTATTTCGACAGACTTAAGATGAAAGTATTGGTAGATGAAATTTTCGTACTTTTTGAAATAGAAAGTAAAAGTACAAGTACTCCTGACAATTGCTTGCACTTGAAATAACAAATTATATACTTTTGTGGAATTGATGCACTGTTTTTTCTTGTAATTTTGGTATTTTTTTCTATAACATTGGTGCAATCATCTTTAGTTACTTTTTACTGTTTTTTTAATTATTATTATAGAATTGAATATTTGTTTGAAAAATGAAATATTTAAATAATCAAAATCATTGAAAACTGTGACTATAAAAATGATTTAGTGGAGAAAAATAAGATAAAGCCACACTCTTAGCATTTCTCAATAGCTCGAGGTCATTCTAATTGATAGTATGGACTAGTCAGATACAGTATCGTATATGTCTTATCAACACAATCAATCATGACGGCCATTGTAGACTAGTCATACCATCTTTTGTCACTATAATTTTGAGCTGTATGACATTGTTAAACTATATCTTATTTATACAAGTGAGTCATATGCATTGAAGCGAAAGCAATGAATTTTAACTTATTACCTAATGAAATCTTACTTGCTTTCTTCGATTATTTGAATGGTAATGATCTTCTTCATACATTTTATGGTCTCAATGCTCGTATCAATGCTTTTCTCTACAAACAATATCAATGTTATTACTTCAAGTTCTCCGTACTGTCCAAACGTAATTTTGATATAATATATCAACAACATATTCCATTGATCTCTGATGATATTCTTGCTCTTCATCTTTCCGACTCTGATTCGAATCCAGGACAAAGCAATCTTTTATTTTATTATAGTCCATCATTGAGGCAATTCACTCATTTACGTTCGCTTTCATTATCTCATCTTCGTTCAAAAGAAATTCTACTGAAAGTCTCCATTGAATTGTCTTATCTTGTTCAACTTACTCATTTAAAGTTCTGTGTCTGCTATATTCCAGATTATAATGAAACGGATTTCGAATTGCTGACGAGTAATATCTGGAACTTGCCAAACTTAACTTATTGTTATTTCGATATTCGTAATAAAAGACCACAATCGTTTGTTATACCATCAAAGATCACGTCATCACTCAAATATTTATCTATCATGACCGAGAAAATAAAGTTGAATTCAATCAATCGATTGTTTCAATGTACACCTTATCTCAAATATCTTCGCGCACGTATTGATTGTTTGGAACATAATGACGATTATATAGGATCATCTTTTTCAACATTGACCAATTTACATATTTTTATTATGGCGTCTCATCCATCGAAAATCATCTCGTTTTTGCGAAATATACCGAATTTACATCGTCTGAATATTAGAATAGCAACTTGCTACTTCATTAATGGTCATCAATGGGAAGATCTCATACGTAACTATTTACCAAAACTGAGAACATTTCACTTATCAATGATAGATTTAACTATTGATCCATTAATGACAGAGGAACGAATTAATGAATTAATGAATTCATTTCGTACTTCATTTTGGATTGATGAACGTCGGTGGTTTGTTCGATATATGAGTAAAAAATACTTTATTCGTTTTGGAACTGTGTCGAAAGCATTTGATTTTATTGGTGACACGCTTCCTAGTGTGTTTAAATCAACAGATTCACAAGACAGTATTGAAAAACTTTATACTACTATGAGTAGAATCTCGGATGTGACACTTGCCAATCAATCAATTGCATCGAAGATTTGTTTTCCAAAACTTAATTCTCTTTCAGTAAAATGTCCTATTAATGATCAATACTGGTCGATGATCTCAAATTTACATCAAGTTTCATCACTTTCATTACATTTGTCTACTGATTTTTCACAATCCGAATTGCAAGCTTTTCTCGATCGAATGCCTCATCTTCGTACATTGATTATTCATCAAGATGCATCATTACCTTTCCCAATGGCAATATTTAATTGTACATTTCCATCAATTCATTATTTGCATTTAGAAAATTGTAAACATTATTTCAATGAAGAAGACTGTACTATATTAAGTCATTCTTCATTGACGAGTCAGTGTAAACAACTAGACATTCTAGTAAAGAATCGTCAAAGTATTATTATTCTTATTAACAAAATGACCAATCTTTGTGCATTACGTGCTCGTTTTACGGATGAAAAGATCTTTGAATATGAGCCTTCAAGAATGCGTCATAACGTTACTGATGAAACTATCCTATGCAAAGATGAAGATATTCAATGGATGATTGACCAGTTACCATCAACCTGTATAATAACTAGACATCCATTGTGTATTAATCATATTCGAATATGGCTTAAATAATGACAATACTATTTTTATGTATATTAAGTGATCATTGTTTTTCTTGTAAAATAAAAGTCTTATATCTTGAGGGTTTGAGCACTTGTTATTTATTTACACTCGCTTATCCTCAATCATTCTCACTGTGAAGAGTTCAATGTCGATTTATTTTGTTTAACATTGAAATCATTAAAAAATATTTGATATTGCTGATGCTTTTCTCATTGGTCTATTAAACTTTTATAAATACTGAAGATAATTACAACCTATAATGATTGATAATCAAAGATATCTGCTAGTTTGTTTAGATTTATCTAATTATTAGTACATTGACGATAAACATCATACTTTTCAATAAATCTTATTAGAAGAATGAATAACAATTTCTACTGAAGAGAGTAGGAAAAATATTTTTCATATAAGAAATCTTATACTAGGAGAAGAACGAAAGCAAGAGTATATAGATATGTATAGAAAAGAAAAGAAAATATATTGAATAATTCCTTACGGAATGTTGTGAGGAACATTCCATAACAAAGGTGTAAACAATGTAGCCTCCTTATACGCAATATAGTCTTCATGTAGCTCACAAACACACAGATGATAAGAATAGTCATCACCACAACGATTAATATTACGATCACGACAACAATCACCATAAGAACCATAATAATAATCACAACGATCGTCAATACCACAACGACCATCATAATCATCACCAATATCATTACGGCAGGTGGCACCATCACGTTTCATAAAATTCTTGTAAATACGATCATTGTAAAAACGCTTCCATTCATCGTTTGTCCAATTCTTCCAATTGGTGATATGTCTCCATGTCTCTTGATTTCCGGTAAAATGCCAATCACAACACATATGACATTTTGTGCAAGGACGACCTTTACAATCCAGTTTCTTGCACGTGTTCGGGTCAGCAAATTCTTGATGTTCTAAATCATATAGAAATTAAAAAGTTTCATAGTTTTCATACAAATACAACAAACTGACTAAAGTTGGTTAAATTAATTCAGTTATAGTGTATATTTATCGCTCATTGGTCTTCTCCGTACTTTTCAATCTCAACAAATGTTTACCTGCGGATTTTGTTGCCATGTTCTTTAATGTTATATAATTGAATCAATGTTGAATTAATGGAGAATATCTATGCTCTAAAATAGAAAACATACGACATATATACTATTGTAACAAGTAAAACACTATGTTTCCCCACTCTATACGTTAATTTTCTGCTCTTCCTTGCCTCCCAATATATGAAGTCCTGAAAAAATCAGAGATGAGAGCAAAACTTCGGCCTAGACCGAATTTATGATAAATTAGCGGTTCAGATCGAAGAGTCATCCGGATCTTGACTCTCATCCAAATTAATATCATTACTTGTAATAAAAAATTCTATCTTCTACAAATAATTAGTGTAGTCTGTAGTGCTTAGCAGCGTTCGAAACTGGATGTGGTAACATTGTGACGAAGTGGGATGGGTACAAGATAAAGTGATAGTTCCTCTTACTAAATTTCAATTAGAAAATATTTGAACCTAATATATTAAAACTCAACGATAAATAGGTGTTCTTAAATGTACTGGAATGAGAAAGAGAACAGACTTTCTCTAAAGAGAACTTTAGAAAAGTCATTTATCGCAATTATTTCTACAGAAATCTTACAACTTTTTTTTATTCCCATGATCAGAAAAGAAAATTTTATGTTTTCATGGTTGACTTCTTCACGGAATCATTGTGATATACTTTTTATAATTCAATATTCTTAAGAATAACACAAAATCTTAATATTTGATTGTCTATATATCTCGATTCCTCTGAATATTTCAATTACATATATATATAATCGCTATCAAAAGTACTTTCTTTGACTTCTTTCCCAACAGTGGCCAAATTCCATCACTTCTGAACTCTTCTAGAATTCAAGAAGCCCACTGAACTAAAATAAGTTACGAAAGTGAACAAATAACTAGTTTGTGCGAGTTGTAAGAGTATCAAAAAGTCCCACACGCCGGTATCGTATAGATCGTAACGGCGTTAGAAAAGCTGAGAATCGAAAAAATGAAGAATAGGCAGAAAATTCATGTAGAGAGTGAATATATTACTCATCTTCACACCCTGTTAGATTCCTGGAGTTCCATGCATTCGGTCAACTCTCGTTAGTTTATTGGTTTATAAATCTTCAAGAATTTCGAAGATCCAGAACTTCGACACACCTCTTTTTTTCAATGACTCAAATGGAAAACTCACCTGAATAAAATTGTTTAAATGAAATAATTTGAAAAAATTGTAATAGTTGGTAAATTTGGGATGATATTATGTATGCGTGTGACTTAATGTGCTTTGCGCGAAATGATTCGTTTAGTTTATTTTATAAAGTAACAATATTTGTCACTTTTTTTTTCGAACTACACATTTTATTGCAAAAAAAATGTGTAAAGAAGACATTGAAAGGCCGCAATACATAAGAAATGTTGTTGGAAAGAAAGAGAAAAAGAATTCAGGTGGAGTAAAATGGATTTAAGTACTGTGTAATTACTGTTGATAGAAAACTGTATTCTTCGTAATGAAAAATAAATATGTCTTTGAAAAAAGAAAAAAAAATTTGATAAAATAGAAGGAATTATGCTATTCGTCTGAGTGAATTTTATTGATAGTCATAGATCGTCGACATCATATTGAGGATATCGATGTCTAATATATCCTTAATGTCCTTTTACATTTACCCACACCCACACACTCACACCTTCAATAGTATAACAAATAATTGTTTCTAATACCTCATTCAACAGAGTCAAATAGACTACACACAAAAACTCCTCAAGGTGTTGGTGTATGATATATATTTTTATTCTTTTTCTAACTAAAAATTCGACGTTACATTTGATGAAAAAGTCGACATTTAATATATGTTTATGAGTTGTGATATGCTCAACCAATCGATATTGTAAGATCCGGTGTTAAGTCATGTTCCACCATGTTCTGCAACATTTTAGGCAGTGAGAACACACCAAATATGCCCCCCACGGAAGCTTGTCCGTTTCCCAATAAACTTAAAAACACGCGTCGGGTAAACTTAGGTACGCGGAAATAAAACATGGCGTAGCCTGGCGGATAGAGTGAAAGAACAGGAGCAATTTGAGCCGCATTGTCCTCTATTGGGTTTGGTTCTGATAGCGAGGCATAAATAGGACACTTTGAACAGTTACTTGTAAACATAATTATCGAGTCATTTGTATTTGTGTATCCAAGCGTCTCAAGCTGTACAGTATAGTAGACACCCACTTTTGTATTTCCGTAATTCAGTAAGTCGTGATAGATAAGAAAACGTGGACTGACGGTCACAAGAGAGCTGATGAGTGGAGCTGAAATCATCAGTTCAACGAAGTCACGGAATGGAATGGCATATATTCGACTTGGATGTGAAGCAAGTAAGTTTAAGACACTTGTATCACTTCCAATCCCGACAACGATGATAGTCATGCGATGTTCGTGCTCTAGTTGACGAATGCGAGCCTCAGCAAAGGCATCTGGGGCAGTTGAGAACACAACGGTCACTCGTGACTTAGTGCGGCAATTTGTCCAACATGATGAATTGACAGCATTCAAAGCTGAGATTAGCGTTGATGGATTTGGTTGAGTGTATGTGTATTGTTTGAGGCTTAGACTTGATTTGATAACGGAAGCCGAAGCCGTCGGGGCAGAGACAACTTGATGAACTGCCGATGTAGCACCGTAGAAAAAAATTCGAATGTTGGGACTAGCGCTTTGTGAAGCCAGTTCGGTGACGATGCTGTTCAAAGCGATTTTCATTTGCTCAAGTTGAATTATGGAAAGCCGACTATTTGTTTCATCAACGAGTAACCAGAGGTCAAGGGTTTTACCATTTAGTGGGTTGTTGTAGAGTCGTGATTCAACCGCCTCGGTTCGACAAGTTGCAATAACGAGAAGAAAGACAAGAAACGACGAAATCATGTTCAGTTGTAATAGAAAGAAACTAGAATGAAATTTAACAAAGGGTTACATTAGATTAATTCTGCGAAAACTTAATAGAGAAGGAAAGACAGATTCAAGATATATCATAGTCAGGGATGAGTAAAATATGAGCCTATTCTTCTCACACACTCTTCCAGTTATAATTTAGCAAGCTCTAACAATTCAAAGAGAACAAATCATCCTTTTATACAACGGTAAATATTTATCGGAAATTTAATATACTTTTGAAAAATGAGTCGAAGTTTATCAGAGAGAGATTTAAAAAAGTACATACTTCAGCTGTCATTTATGCATATAAGAAGATCAAGTTACCAACATTTGGCAAATATTTTTCGTCTAATGTCATTTTATCCTATCGAAATCGAGTCATAGTTTATTCCTATTAGTAATTCAATCTTCGTATTCACATCCATTGATAACAACACAGATCGAGGATATCGGTGTGGATATGGGTATTATATTTTATTCATACTCACACCCACACCCATTTACTTAAGTTTTAGTTATAAGATGATCTTGTACACAAAAAAATCTCACTTGATAATTATTCTAAAGAATGTTGCGTGATACATTAGTAATAATTCATTTCTTTTATTAAAAGATAAGTCTGGAAATAATGAGAAAATATTTATGCCCATTTATATTAATTGAAAAGAATTATCCGTCAAAGAAAGCATAAAATCTTGCGTGACAATTAAAGTTTTCACTTTTATTCGATATATTATTTATTAGTATTATTAGAAAAATATTTCCATTGACTTTTAACGAGCTTCCAACATATAGACAGAAAAAGAATCCATTCGTAACATAATATTGTTATAATATAGTTTGTAGTAAAAAGAGAAGTCTACATGATAAACGTCAGAATATATACAGTCTGTTCATCTATCTCTGGGTTTTTTTACAAAATGAGAAAAAAACGCATTTTATTTTTCTCTTCAACGTTATAATTCCGTGATGAAAAGGAAAGACTTAATCTTTTTTCTTAAACTAATTGGTACTAATCCTTTCTATTTTGATTTTTTTTTGTAAATTTACAAAAATAAAGATTATTTAGTTAGAAAATAATGTCATCACTAATAGTTCGTTTAACAACTCAACCAGCTGTATACTATCTACCATTTGTGTATATAATAGGTTTGATTGGTAATATATTAAATATAATAGTTTTCTATCAATCTAAACTTCATTCAAATAGTTGTTCATTATATTTTATCTGTCTCTCAGTTGCACATCTTCTTATGCTTAATTGTCCATGTCTATTTCGTATTGTGGCTGTAGCTAGTAACTATAATGTATTTGGACGTGTGAATATACTTTGTAAATTGAGTACTTATTTAGATGTTCTTAGTCTTGTTCTTTCGCGGAATTTTCTTTGTTTGATTTGTATCAATCGTTGGATAGTCACATCACCAAATGCATGGCTTCGCAAACAAAGTTCACTTCGAACAGCTCGATGGACTGTAGCGATTACAATATCCTTTTGGTTGGTGTTTAATATTCATTCAGCTATTGGTTATAATACAGTCAATGATATGGTATGCTCAAGTGCACGTGATTATATAGTTTTTTCTTCTATATTTCATATTGTTACTGCTATTGTTTCATTGATTATCATGATTGTATTCAGTATTTTGACATTGATTAATATGCGTCAGGTTGGTCGTCGAACCAATCCATTAATATTTCAGACGAATCGTAATCAACTAGAAAGACAATCAAAGAAAAAACGTGAACTTCAATTTATTCGTCTATCACTAGTTCAAGTGTTACTCTATGTAATATTTACTTCTTTGAGAACATTTATGCCAATTGTTGTGTATTATGTAAGCGTTGTACGCAACGCTTCAAGTAATGAACGAGAAATAATGTATTTGTTCTTCTATTGGGGAACTTATTTACTTTATACATATGCAGCGGTAAGTACATGACATAACTCATAACTAGAATTTTAAATTCATCAACAAACATATATATAAAAAGTGATATTATAACATTACATAGAATCAACATAGACAGAGTTATTGACACATCTCCTTATGTTTATGACGTAGCAATATAGAATAAGTTATTTTGCTTAAGAAATAAATTGTCTAAAGATGAGATCATCGAATAAGGGTATTTTTTTCTTATCAGGTTTATTTAGATTTATATCACATACAATAATAATTTTATTTGATACATAGGTAACATCAATAGTGTACACATTGACTTCAATTACTTTTCGTGAAGTATGTTCTACAATAATGAAACAAATTTTGATCATTATTCGTCGTGGCACTCATCATATATAAGATAAACAGTCAACGATCCTGAATTATCATCGATTCCGTTCGTTTTTATGGCTTTAATTTATTATTATTCAATATAGCGTATAAATAAAAATAAATATTAAAATTATAGTTGATAAAAAATATGCGTGGGTACATGAACATAAAATTAATAACATGAAGAAACAAATTCAATTTAATATAATTGAACTACATTTTTCGTTCAAGTAGTAATGTGATATTTATTTGTTTTCAGAGAAATTTATTAATATAGATGATTGAGATATCTTGATAGATCTTTAGTTTTTATTTTCTATAACGGCAAAGGAAATAGTCTATTACGAAAAAAAGCGTAACTGCTATTGTTCTCAAAATAATATCACCATTCTCTAAATATATCAATATCGATAGATTATATTTAAGTATATTTTACGCGTGATGCTTATGAATTAAAGAAAATTGATCATTTGCTAGTTTGATGTTTTTTTCGTTGAAAGAACGTGAATTTCACATGAAAAACTTCTATTTACACATAACTGCAATTCACCGTACGACCTCAATGTGTATTTGCTATTTTTGAGAATCTAGTCGAAAGGAACTAATGTATTTTTAATAACCAAAATGTCACTGTTAATATCATTCATTAAGCAGAAATGTATAAATTGAAAAAACGATTGAAGTATGATGGATAGTTTAAGTGAAATGTATTTGTAAATGCATTAAGAAAAACAATCATTAAGAGAAAAAATATAAAAGGTATATTATTCTTATTCTGTTTTATTATAACAACAAGTGATATCAATCATCAATCTAATATTATCACATTGTTAAAATGATACGAACAAGTTTCTTCATGCTTGTTCTGAGCATTAGTATCAATACCGAGTGTATCAAATGTATTAGTATTATTCGTTATACAATATATACATCTAACAATGTCAATACTATAATAACATACAAAGATATATATTCTGAATGTGTTTACTACGCATTCTTCTCTAATACATTTTCATTGTATGTTGGATTGAACTGCTACACAAGTAATAAAACATATACATTATTTACCAATTATTCCTCGAGGTGGGTGTGGGTGTGATGGTTATAATACCCACACCCTCAAGATAGTGACGCTGTACGTTCGTTGAATTCAACTAATGTTTATTTACAATCAGTAACTAGCTTGTTTTCTTGGTATATCTATCGTATTTTTAGTATAAAAATAACTAACTAACAAATGAAGTGTATAATCAATCATAATATTCCAGTCTATCGTTCTTGCATTTATTCACTTGAATGAAAGGAAGTAAAATAAATGAATAATTAATCATGGTATTCAAATTTATCGTTTCGAGTTTATCCACTTGAATGAAAGGAAGTAAAATAGATGAATAATCAATCATGATATGCAAATCTATCGATTCTGAATTTATTCACCTGAATGAAAGCAATTAAAATAGATGAATAATAAATCCTACAAAAATAAATTATTTATGCCTCGCCAACCATGCATATTTGAGGGTGTGGAGTTGTATTGACATAAGAAAACCATCAAGTGTCTACCCACCCACATCCACACCCGTCTCTATATAAAAACCCTTCGTAAACTGTGTCTACCGCATTTCAAACTCATTCATATATTTATTCACATTTGCTGTATTTCGGCATTACTATCTTCAGAAAAATGAACAAGTTTCTTCTTCTACTACTCATTTGTACAGTTGGCTCGACTATAAGTATGTTGTGAAGGCTACCTGTTGATTGAATTCTATACATTTTTGGATTTTTAGGTAAAAAAGGCATGACTTTCATGAAGTACACACATGATGCCCGCTTTGGTATTGACAATCTCAGCTGTTATGCGCCATCCGATTTCAAGGGTGTACCAGTCTGTGACGCATACAACGGCGATACAGACTGCGAGAATCTGTTACCAGTACTCTGCGTGAAAGTGGACGATAGTCCTCGCCCAGCCTATCCAGTTACAGGTGAAGGAGCTGCGATGCCAGTGTGGAATTATTTTGGATGGGGTCGCGGTAAGTCAACTACTGAAGGATATTTTGTGTAAGTGCGCTTTGTTAAAAAACCAGCACCTAGTTCCTCACCAATGACTATAAACTTTCCGACCGAGAAGAAAACTGATCATAGTTATATTGATTCACGATTCTAATACAAAATTACTTTGAAGAAACTTCTCTAGAAATTCAAATACGAAACAGGGATGCCGCTGTTGTTTTGTTTCAAGTATAATAGCTTGTGCTGAGCAAATGCCATTGAAGAACTGTAGAGATACAACCATTTATAATCTGTCTGTATGATTCAAGAAAGCTCGATTAAGAGTTCTTCCTCTAGGGCAAGTGTATAAGGATCACACAGCCTTTATCTAAGAAAAATTTGAGTATCACTAATTCTCAAGGACCTATACATATAGCTATTAAAAGAAGTCTTCGTGTCGCTATACTTTCATCTGAAAATATTCAGTAAATATCGCATGGTATTTCCGATATCTGATCAGAAAACAAGTGAAGCAACTCCGTACATTTTTTATTAGTTTGTGTGTGTTCGCTTAGGTCATGTTGCTTCTACTAAACCGGTTAAAGCGAGCCAATTTCAAACTCGAGAAGCTGTTGATGCTTTTTGTGCAGACGCTTTTGGTAGCGGTTGGAAGGTACAGTCTTGGCAAGATATGAGCAAATGGATAAGTGGCATGGGCGGAGTGGACGGTATGAAGTATTCAGGTAGCGAATGGAGTGCTAATGCAGACAAAATGCAAAGTGGAGGGTGGGGTTTCTATGCATATGGTAACCTGAGAAATGATACACGTTTATGGATGGACGGACCCCATGATCAAGTTTCTACATGTTGGGCACACTGAGATTGACATTCTATGTTTCGCCTTTATATTTACATCTCAATAATCTTGACTTGTTGTTATTTTTTTACATCATAAATACAAAAGTTCAAGGGAGTTTAGACTTATGTTCAGTAATGATGACTCAGCAGGGGTGGGTGGGTGCGAATGTTGTTGTGGGTGAGGATACGGGGTGGGGTGAGTGTGGGTGTGGGTCTAGATCTGGGTGGATATGAGTGGGAATTGGGAGCACAGACACCCCCATCCAATTTCCGGAATTCCACAGCGCGGTTGGTTCGTGTTCACATTGAATAACTTCTCAACACAACACTATACATGAGGATTACAGTACCGTGTAAGTTCGGCTAGAGATTCCAGTATCGGTGAAAATTCCATCTTGGCGATGGGTGTGAGTCTGCATATTGAATCTGACACCCATATCCTCGATATTTATCTAAACTCAAATATTTAAGAAAAATAATCGAAGTTTAAATGGATCAGAAAGTTATGAAAAACTATATATGCTCAAAACTTCTTGATAGTATCTAACTATCAGTACTACAGATTATCTCATTAGCAGACATCTCATCGAAAAGTTGAGTCAACAATACTATTATTTGGTTGATGGAGGAGAGAAGAAATACAATAAATTAATATTACCGATACTGTGTATTCATTTCAAGTGTAATGCAGATTGTTTATATCAGATTTAAGAATCTTAGTGACAGCGCTAAAAATAAAAGACTATTTTAGATTCAGTTACTCATCTGAAGGTATTTCTCTATCAATTATGATGTTTTGTAGCAGGCTAAATAGGGGGAAAGCATAAGACTTTGAAAAAAACGCCGTTTTTAAGACGTAAAAATGTGCACTTTTCGCTCTTAAAAAGTCATTTTTTTCAAAACTTGTCTGACTGCGTAGGCAACTTAGAAAGATACGAAAAGTGCTTACCAACACTTGAATAATTAAAAATTACTTTTTTTTAGCGAACTTGACATATGTATTGAAGGACTGATGCAACAGCATCATTTATTGAATTATCTTAGAATGTTAGCATGGGTATCATTTTAAGAACATTACAAACCCACATTCATCCTCATATGTGATAGCAAAATATTCTATGTAAGAATAGTAAAACTCAATCTAAAATATAACCAAAAGACGAAACATCAATTCAAAATCCTATATACCTTTGTCCTTACAGCATATGTCCTATGATTTTGAGATGCCTGCATAATAATAATTTTTCCATTCTGTCTTCACCTCATTTTCTCTATTCATTTCTAAGTCATCATTAATTTTCGATGTAATCAATTTTGTATTATGCTTCTTTGTTTTTTTTTCTATTTTTTTTATTATTATTGAGCTTCAAGTTCTTCACTACTTTTTTTAATCCACATTGTCGTTATTATTGTATTGCTGTAAGTTGTATTATTGTAAAACTTCATCATTATTAACACATTCAGTAGTAGAACATCATAGATCTTTCCGCCGTTACAAAGTATTGGTATTTTCAAGTGGACTTATAAACATCATTCTTAACATAATGAACTATAATATGCATCGTAGAATTATTATGGTGATACACTATACATGTCTATTTTTGCTCTCCTGTAGCGATTGCAAAGACAATGACGACATTGCATCCAAAATCAAGACCGCACATAAATCCATTCATATTCATAATGCACAAGTAACTTTTACTAGTTTTTTCTTTAATTTCTGTCAACTGAGGAATGTATTTACGCGTTCCGTTCCTTGAAGTATGACATCAGTGATAGCCTAACGTAAAAAATGAATCGAATATGTATAGAACTAAAACTATTCGCTTGTCGAAATAGTCAAGCAGTTAAACATGTAATGCGCGGAGATCTTCATCTGTGAAAAGAATACATGAAAACTTGCGCTTATATTTTGCGAACTGAGATCAGCTTAGAAATCGAAAAAAGTTCAACATAATTCTACTTTTCACTTGCATTTTTTTGTGAAGTTTACATATGTTTTAAGAAAATAATGAACTTGTCCTCAATTCTATGCATAAACAAACGATAAGTAATTTGTTAGATGCTTACCGATAAGATATGTTGACATTAAATACATTAAAAATTGATGATACTCTGCTGAGACAACAACGAAGGGATATACAATTTTGCTATTCTGAATTTGTGTAATATGTATCATTGCATAGAATATTTAGGTAGTTTATCCGTCTCTTGTCAATGTCAATTATTATGCTTTTGCAACCACTCCCGTGGACACTGTCTATGTTTCTCGAAGTTCTCTTCCGAATGCTGTAAGTGATTTATTAAAACATGGTATTGCATAAAAAAAACTAAATGATTTATTTTTTCAAGGGTTTTGGAGTATTTGCCCGTCGTTTCATTGCACGTCATAGTTATTTTGGTCCCTACGGTGGTAGTAAACACAACTCTCGTCTCATTAAAGAAACAAGCGATTATAGTTGGGAAGTAAGAATGAAAATCGTTTGATACATTATCTTTTATGTTCATATTAGGTGCGAGATAAGTCAGGTAATATAATGTATTACATCGATGGAAGTGAACTCAACAGGTCGAATTGGCTTCGATTTGTTAATTGTCCAAATACTGTGAGTCAAGAAAATCTCATATCATTCATGTGTAAGATGACATTCATGCATGTTTTTCGATGCGGTTAGTTATATATCATTGTTTTCTTAGTTCATGGTGATATTTTCTACTTGGCAATTCGAAATATTACTGTTGGAGAAGAACTTATGGTTTACTACGGACATAATTACGCTAAGAGGCTTGGTGTTGATACGACGCTGTTCCGTTAAGTTCTATTTATGACCTCGACGTACTCAAGCAACGTCACAAGATCTCTACTTATCCAAACAAAAAAGAAACTAATATTATAAGCTACATTTTTTATTAAATAAAGAAAGAATTTTTTCACTTCTCTCAAAATACAATCTATTGATCTCAGCTCTAATTTTTCAGCAACCGATTTGGTCGTGATTGAGGGTGGATGAGAGGCGAAAGTAATGCTCACATCTGCACCTTACACCTACCCATCTGAAAAGAATTGAATATATAAAATATTGATCTTCAGTTTACATATCGATTAATTTACCTGGCTGGATGTGCCATCAGTAGTTATAGTTTTAATCTTCAATATATTAGTTTCTACCGTAAATCGTAATCTGTATTTGAATTTCTTTATCAACATAGTTATCTTGAGGGTGTGGGTGTGGGTGGGAGAGTGGACGTGGTTGTTATGATTATCTCATACTCAGACTTAGACCCACATCAACACCCTCGAGGATTGCCTAAAAATCTCATAATAGCAATGGAAAAGAAGAAACAAAGTAATTATCTTTCGTCGACGACATATTGTGTCGGCGAAATGCTTTTCGGCGAAAAACATAGGATTCCGTAAACTGTTATCTATTGTAAATATCAACAAGCTCTTTCCAGTAAATTTTTATGCCATTGTTATATACATAGCCGCCGTCAGTCGAATGACTTTTCGTCGAAAGATATATTTCGACGAAAAGTCATTCGACCAGCGGCTACTTCCCCGTTTGATCTGATACTTCTGTTTATGTTGGAAATTACCAACCTTTTACTTTATTGCACGTAAGTTATAGTAAGTAAAAAAATGATAAAGAAAAATATCTTTTGTTATCATTGAGTCCTTCAAACCACAAGCAAACATCACAAAAGAAATAAGGTCTATATAGTTGCTCGACACATAACATATAACTATTCATTTTTTCTTTCGTTATGTCTTTATATATTTTACGTCACTTACAGAGAGAGAGATATATATATCCTCTATATCATTCCTGCTTTAGAAAAAGTTTTAATTCATACTTATGTTATATTAGATACGACTAGTTTAAGAATCGAAAGTTTTTTTAAATCTCATAAAACCTATAAGCAATATATAACATGTTAACTAATACACTATGAATATATTTCTTTATTTAATATTTAGCATAATGAATTTTCAATCAAATGAACAATCAACAGTTACCAATAATGATACTTCAATCTATTTGAATGATAACCAACCAAATGTAAGTGTCAATTAATATCACGAACAAATTACAGATCAGGTTTTTTTGCTTCATTTTAAATGTCAAAAATTTAGATTTTCTATAATAATGGGCTAAAATATATCTCATTTTCAAAAACAAAAACTATAGTCCTATACACAATCTGGTATTAGTAGAGAAAACATTAGGAGATATGAAAAAAAATAATTCTTTTCAAAAATGATCTATTATAGAATTCATTACCCTCAAATATTGAATCAAGATTTAGTCCAACAACGAATTACGCTCTAGATTTTCATTCAATAAATGAATTAGTCGATTTGCATAAGAAACTTTTACGCAAACGAAAAATGTATTGCTATTACATATTTGGAATATCGTCCTTAATTGGTTTGATATTATTAATCGTAGGCTTTGTTCACCCAACATGTAGTATTATTGGTTATAACTGTCCAACAGCATATACAGTATGTCTCGCTCTTGGTGGAAGTCTAATATTTTTTGGCATTGTGATTGTGTTGACGCTTCTCTGTGATGATTTGTGTAGAGAACAACAATATGAGGATGTAAATTTTAGCGTTAATGGACAGCAGCCAGTCGTATGGCGATTGGATGGCGAACCGTGGGTACGGTATTTGAAATATATACATGGCCCAAATCGAATGTGGACACAAATGAATCCATGGTCATCTTTCTGTTGTCGACTTTCGACTTATGAGCGATTAATGAATCGTCAATATGGTCACATTATTTTACATGAAAAAGGTTTAATAATTGATGAATTATATTTTGTTTCATTTCGAGCTTATACATTAGAAGGTGTAGAAATACTCTGTATCGACCAACATCCACAAATAATAGGTTTAAGAATACATACTTATTTTCAAGCAGGAAAAAATAGTCGCAGTTGTTATTATGATTTATTTGCACCATCATCAGTTTCATTCGAACAAATACAAGCACTCGCCCGAGCATACATTATCAAAATATATGGAGTTAGTGCACTTCGTTCTCCTTTGACAGTAATTCGTCTTCCTAGATCAATATTATCTGCACTCAACTAATATATGACCTATTATCACTAATAATTATCTAAATTAATCTATTCCTATAATCATAAACAATAATTGATTTCACAAATTTTTTTTTATACATGAATGAATATTTATTTATTTTGAAAAATCCATTGGATTGATTGTGTTTGCAAATTTATCTTATTTATAAGCTTTTTTCTTGTGTTGTAATAAAAAACAAAAATGATGAAGAATGATAGTTTTAAATTAGATAGAGTATATAGAGTTGTAGTATCGAGGTGAGGGTGTGGACGCGTGTATTTTTTTAATTCGACACCCATCAGAAGTGTCGCAAACAACATCATAACACTTGTTGATTCAGCGTTACCTCACCTGTGTATTGATATTGTGTTATTTTTGTTGGAAGTTGGAAAAAACCAGTGAGGACAGCCAACAAAGTGGTTTATTCGCCATTTTCTTATCAAATATTTTCCATGAAAGTGAAGATCACTATTCGAGTATACTGTGCGTAAAGACATCGACTTTCCCAGAAAAAAGAACAAAAGCATGTACGTCATTCAACGTCTTTATTGATATTCTGCTAGTATATAGGGTTTGATGAAACTACGAAAAGCGTAAAAGAATAACGGTCCATATGTCTTTGTTGAGGATGCGGGTGTGTGCATTCTTCTAATTCAATACCCACACCCACACCCTCAAGATGGTTCATAATATGATAAGGATTTATTATTTTGTTTGGGTTCATACTTTTGAATCATAACTTAAATAATATCGAAGATGAACAAAACAATATCATTGGTTAATTCTCTTGTGAACGTTAATGAACGATTGGTAATTAATTCTTTTAATATCCGCAATCATATTATCATCGTAGATTTTCGATAGACAATGGATATTCTTTTGAAAATATGTGAAAAAATCTTATCTCGAATTGATCATCAATTAAATGAACTTATTGTTGAACAAACTTCGGTGAAAGATATTCTTCTTTCTATTAATTAGCCTCAACTTGATTCATTATCAGTTGTTAATTTTGAAAAAGAAATACTTTTTCAATATTGAACAAATAATTTTTTGGATTAAATAATAAAGGTGGGTGTTATGATCATCTTTTACTCATATCCGAAATACATCTCCATTTCTGTTCACTGTAGTATGCTTGTTTTATATTCCCTGTAAATAAATCTTGCCAAATCATTCTCTTCCTCTGACAAACGTTAACTCAAGAACAAACAGTAACGAACGAAATGTTAACAAAGAAAAAAAAAGCGTAAAAACACCCGAATTGTTGATGCACATTAACTGTTAAAGACATAGAGGAGTAGTCAGAAGACGAAAAAGAATTATTTACATAACAATGGTGCACAAGGACAGAATGTATTTTTCTCGATTTCTCCATTAAATCTTATTCTATATATCACGAAAAAAAGTCGTAATAGGTCTTCAGAGTATTTCTTTTAGTTTGTTAAATATTCTTGCGATTTAGGTTTAAGTGCGTGCTATATCTTTACCGGTTACAAGGTAAGTCGTATAACGATAATTGAATATGGAGTTGATGAATGTAGTCGTTCACAAGAAAAATATGTATGTGGGTAAGAGTAAAGATGACACGAAACTATTAGTAAATAGTAGAGCTTGAAATTGACATGATTTTAATAAATGCTGAAAGTATGGCGTATATAAATGTGAGATAAATAAGAAGTATTGGCGTAGCAGTGACAACATTTTGTGAGTTTTGTGGAAAGTACGCTGGAAGTTTTTTTCTATATATTTTTTTGTTCTTAGAAAAAAGAAGTATTCTGTGGTGATGGAAACTGATGAAACTGCTCATAAAACGCTATCTTTCAGGATTTCAAGCCAACGCTCGTACTTTATCATCATTTTAGTCTGCAGTTTAGCCTCTTATGCTGTTTTGAGACGTACCAATAATTGTTCTCCAACTGCTATATGGACAGCATGCAAAACATTCCACTTACCAGATTACTTGAAAAAACTATCTAATTCATCGGTTTTGGAAAATTTCACTGATGTAAACAGTATACCGGGTACAACTGGACCAGGTATTCCCACTGTCATACGGTTGGCTCTCTCAACAAAATACGGCGGCGTGAATACTAGTGCTACTTCATCCTATGGTGCTGCAGAGGGTATGTAAACTATATACAAGTTGGAAAATGATGGATTCTTATATACACTCAACAATATATCCCTAGTGAACGTTTGAATTTATTTGATTTTAATTTAAATACAAAAATCGGTTGTTGTTTCTTTTCAAATAGTTTTAATTCAGTGATTAAGATAAGAAAACTGACAGATATATTTATTCGGCATTCTTCAACAAAAAGATTGACTATTTTTCAGCCGTCAGCCGTTTGGAGACAGAATGTGGATGGGATCCAGGTTCATCAAACTTCGTTCATCCTGAATGCATCAAGCAATTTAATTTTACTCGTAAATCACTTCCGTTTAACATATCTGATTATTATCATGAAATTGACATTGTCATACCAACAATTCGTAATCTCGATTTTCTTGAACATTGGAAGCCGTTCTTCAAACACTTTCATTTAATTATCATTCAAGATGGTGACCCGAATAAAGTATTAGAAATACCAAAATGGGTTGATTTTGAACTTTACAATAGACGGGATATCGATAATATATTAGGTAAACATCAATCATGGATCATTAGTTCACACGATGCATCAATTCGAAATTTTGGTTTTCTTGTTTCGAATAAGACATTCATCTATACAATCGATGATGATTGTCTCCCGGCACGAACTCCTACTGGCGCTAGAATCGATGCCTTGTTAAGGCACATTCAAAATCTTATTACTAATTCGACTCCCTATTTCTTCAACACTTTGCATGATCCATACCGCGAAGGTTCAGATTTTGTTCGTGGTTATCCATTCAGTTTAAGACAAGGTGTGCCTACTGCTATTTCACATGGTATTTGGCTCAATGCTCCAGATTATGATGCACCTACTCAACTATTGAAAATCGATGAGCGTAACACACATTTTGCTGATATGACTATTACAGTACCTGCTGGTGTTCTCTATCCGATGTGCTCCATGAACGTAGCATTCAATCGTAAATTAATCGGTGTAGCCTTCATGCAAGGTCTTATGGGTTCTAATATGCCTTGGGGACGATATGATGATATGTTTGCAGGATGGGCTAGTAAAGTGGTGGCAGATCATCTCAGTCTTGGTGTTAAAACGGGAGCACCATATATCGAACATCACAAAGCATCGAATCCATTTGTAAATCTAAAAAAAGAATATATGGGATTTTTCTGGCAAGAAGATATCATTGCATTCTTTCAACAAGTTCGCTTTCCATCATCTATCAACACAGCAGAAGGTTGTTATTTAGAATTAGCTAAAATGATTCGTTCACAACTCAGTCATTTGCATCAATATTTCGATCGATTAGCACAAGCAATGGAAATCTGGGTTCATCTGTGGAATCAAGCACAAAAAGGTTCACTCCGATTTCAACCGATTCGTCAAGGGCGACCTAACATATCAACAAATCTATATGCAGTCTTTACTATTTGTCGTAATGAAAAAGGATACTTACTTATTTGGTTGAGATATTATCGGCGTTACTTTGTCGATGAAGATATCTACATATTGGACAATGATAGTGATGATGGATCGACATCAAATCTTACTGTTAATGTTCATCGAGTTTCCTCTGAAAAATATTTCGATCATCTTTGGCTTATAGAAACTGTTCAAGATATGGCACGTAGTTTACTTAGAAGAGGCTACAAATATATTTTATTTTGTGAAGTAGATGAAATGATCGTACCTGATCCAATCAAATATCCTTTAGGTCTTCTCGATTACATTAAAAAAGCAAAGGCAGAAGTTACTCGTGTCACTGGCTATGGATTATTTCATTATGCTACATCAGAACCGAAACTTAATCTCAGTCAACCCATTATGCCACAGCGACGTTATTGGGCAAAAGATAATGGGTACGATAAACCTTTGTTGATAAGCAAAGAAATTCATTGGACTGTAGGTTTTCATAACTGTAAAGAAAATACCACACGGTAAGATTTTGTTTGATTCACCTTATGAACGATATTTTCATTTGGAATTTAGAGATAAGGACTTAATTCTAATTCATCTTCAACGAATGGATCATGACTTTTATATGGAACGTGCTACTTGGAAAAGCAACCAGAACTTTAAGGCGGAAGATCTTCTACAAAACTGGGGCGTGCAACATTTATTACGTGGGGCAAAAGCAGAAGAATTTTTCTCCACCGCCCCGGGACCAATTTCTGAAATTCCAGAACAATTTCGCTCAGCATCTCTTTTCTGATATATGCTATTTCTTGTGGTAACGTTTTAGCTAGAAGATAATTACATACTCTAATAAATCAATGGAACAGACGGAAGGGTAGGTGTAGATGTGGCTGTTGACTTCACTGCCATGCACGTTCACTCACGAGTGTGAATGGTGATAAGAAACAGAAACTCACACCCACACCCTCAAGAAATATGATATCTGTAACCAGCATAACTAGACTTGCTATATAATATAAAAATTATTGACATAAAAGATAAAGAAATATTCCTATCGTAAAAACTATTCTTTTTAAGATGTGAATAAGATAAGCATAATATTCAGACACGAACCTAGACCCATCAGCATCTATACCTAATATGAACTTTATAAATTGTAGAGAGTTCCTATAGGAAATAATTTATATACTGTGAGCTTCATATATTGGCGAAGTTTTCTATGAAAGCTAGACTAGTTTTGATCTCTACATATCCTAAGTTTTAGATCAAAATTCTAAAATACGATTTTTCTAAAAGTTAAAATCTGTCAACAATAAGCATATAAAAAATCGAAGAACTTCTTCAAATTTTAATATTACACAGAGTAGTCAAAAAGTTTTGCAACTTCGCTATATTTATTCACAGAAGCAACGCTTCATCTATCTTTCTGCATCATATATAGGGGTAGGACAGTTCCATATTAGTTCCGTTCTTAGGAACTGTATTAACAGTTCTTTTGAATAGAACTGAACTGAATCAACAGTTCTTTGAATAGAACTGAACTGAACCAACAGTTCTTTGAATAGAACTGAACTGTACTAACAGTTCTTTGAATAGAACTGAGCTGTACCGACAAGTTCAGTTCCTTTCAAAGAACTGTTATTTCAGTTCAGTTCTTTTCAGAGAACTGTTGTGAAAACTATTTTTTTGGAAATAAAAACAAATTTGAAACAAAACAGTTCTCTTAAAAGAACTGTTGAAACCGACCAGTTCCTCTGAAAGAACTGTTGATACAGTTCAGCTCCTTTCAAAGAACTGTTAGGTAAAGTTTAGTTCTATTCAAAGAACTGTTAATACAGTTCAGTTCCTTTCAAAGAACTGTTAGTACAGTTCAGTTCTATTCAAAGAACTGTTAGTTCAGTTCAGTTCTATTCAAAGAACTGTTGGTTCAGTTCAGTTCCTATCAGAAGAACTGAACTGGTAGTTCTTTTGACCAGTTCATCCGAACTTGGAACTATGAACTGTCCTACCCCTAATCATATATTAGAGGTAGTTGTTCTAATATTTTATGGAAAGTTTCAGTCTTCTAATACACTGTTGAGATGTTCTCTGAAGTGAACTATATGTAAAAAATTGACATGTTCGGATAAAACTTCTACTAACTTATTGTAGCTGATGATTTTTTAGTGTATGTTGAATACACCTGAACAACTAATATTCTAGAAGCCTGTTCCGAGATGTGTACGCTTGGTGAGTCTTAGCTTCGTCCCTTTCACTTTGAAGGAGATAATGACATTATTTTACATGTTGCTGAAAACAGCATAATGGAAATTGATAGGATAGGAGCGTGATAATGCTTTTTTATTCGATAAATTTTTTATTTGTGAATTTAAATATTTCGACACATACCTTAGTTTCTGACATCGTTAACAGTAAATTGTCGACGGAATGACCATTTTCTCTTGTTTGCGTAAGTTCTGATGATGGTTTTGATCCTATATTGTGGTGCAGATATAAGTATGGTAGCTACTAATAATACTACTACAAAAAATTGCATTTCCCAATCAAGAACTTCTCTAATTTTTTGAGGACTCAAAAAACTAGTAAAATCCAACGTTATCCAAGCATGTCAATTTTTTACATATAGTTTACTTCAGAGAACATCTCAACAGTGTATTAGAAGACTGAAACTTTCCATAAAATATTAGAACAACTACCTCTAATATATGATGCAGAAAGATAGATGAAGCGTTGTTTCTGTGAATAAATATAGCGAAGTTGCAAAACTTTTTGACTACCCTATGTAGAGCAGATCTATTTAGAGTTTTTAGTACGACACTATATGTTATCTATAGGCAAAAAGTCATTGAAATCAGATTTAGAAATTTAGAACAAAGTATTGCAAAGATAGCGTATTCAAAAGAATAGTAGTGTGAGTTCCTCTCAGTGTTTATTTCAAATATATTTTCATAAGATCACTTAGCACAAACACAATGCAAACAAAACATTTCCTAAGGTATTAGATTTAGAAGAAGAAGAAGAAGAAGGCTTTTAAAACTTGATGTATGTGAAGTAATTGTTTATGCAGACTCACATACGTACTCCTACATTCTTTATCATACATATGTATGGCTCATAAGCAACTACGATAAAAAACAAAACAAAAAATGAATCTAAGAAAGTTTTCTAATATAACAAAACGAATAAACCAATACCTATCAACAAGTATTGAGAAAAACAAACAACTCCGAAGACTTTTCATTCAGCACAATCAAATCTGTTTTATTGTCATTATTCAGATCGCCGAACATCAGCACCTTAGGATTAACACCAGTTCTATATTTCTTTTCGACATGAAAGCTACCATTTCCCAAGCCGAGCAAAACACTGATGGTATTGTCATCAAAATTGGCTACTGCTAGATCTGTTTTGTTATCATTATTGAAATCAACTGAGATCACTGCTCTTGGACGTTTACCAACCATATAGTTTACTGGAAGTTGGAAGCGTCCATTGTCTAAACCAAACAGTACGCTAATGTTATCATCGTAATAGTTGGCTACGACTAAATCCAATATGTTATCATTGTTAAAGTCGCCGGATGTCAATGATTGTGGCTGTTTACCAACTCTGTAGTCCATTCGCAACTGGAAACTACGTTTATTTATGCTAAGTAAAATACTAATACTATCGTTATGAGAGTTGACTACTGCCAGATCCATTATTTTATCATTATTGAAATCACCTGTTACTAATGATTCTGGAGCTACACCAACCATATAGTTCACTGGCGTGTGAAAGCTTCCATTTCCAAATCCTAGCATGATACTAATGGTATTATCGGCACCATTAGCCACGGCTAGATCTAATTTATTATCATTGTTAAAGTCAGCTGCTGCCAGTGCTTGAGGCCATTTACCAACTGCATAGGTCATCGGGGATTGAAAGTCTCCATCCGCATTAGCCAGTAACACACCGATTGTGTCATCAGTGGTGCTGATCACCACCAGATCTAATTTGCTATCATGATTGAAATCAGCTGCTAATATTGACGTTGAATGATCAACGACTTTACAGTTCATGGGAGACCGAAAGCCTTCATCTACATTTCCTAATAATACGCTTATAGAATTATCAAGAAAGTTGGAGACTACCAGATCTAACTTGTTATCATGGTTGAAATCAGCTGCTACCATCGATTTCGGGTATGTACCAACCGTATACTTTACTGGCGCCTGAAAGCTTCCATTTGAATAGCCTAGAAAAACATTGATGGCGTTGTTATCGGAGGTGGCCACCGCTAGATCTAATTTATCATCATTATTGAAATCACCAGATATCAGTGATTGTGAACTGTCGCCGACCCAATGGTTTATTGGAGAGTGAAAGCTTCCGTTTGCATATCCCAGTAAAATACTCACGTCGTTACTGCGGTCGCTGACCATTGCTAGATCTAATTTATGATCGTTGTTGAAATCTGCGGATAATATTGACTTTGGGCCACAATCAACTTTATGATAAATTGGCGACTCGAAACTTCCATTCCCATAACCAAGAATGACGATGAGAGTATTATAAGCGGTGTCACCTGTTATCAAATCTAATTTGTTATCATTGTTCAAGTCAGCTGATATCACTGTTGCTAAAAAGCCATCAATCATTAAGTCTATGGGAGACTGAAAACTTCCGTTTGCATATCCTAACATAACACTAATGGTGTTTTTAAAACTGACTACTGCTAGATCTAATTGACTATCATCATTGAAATCAGCCGATATTAATGATTGTGGACTGTTGCCCACTTTATAACTAATTACAGATTGAAAGCTTCCGTTGCCATTCCCCAGTAAAACACTGATCGTATGATCGTTGGAATTAGCCGACACCAAATCTAATTTATTGTCATTGTTAAGATCAACTGATATCAATGCTAGTGGATTTCGGCCAACTGTATAGTGTATGGCAGTCTGAAACAGACCGTTTCCCAAGCCGAGCAAGATGCTAGTAGTGTTTTCATAAGAGTTGACTACTGCAAGATCTTGTCTGTTATCAGCATTGAAATCAGCTGATATTGCTGAAAGTGGGCCTTTACCAACTGCCTTTGTACCTATAATCGTAAAGGCTCCGGCTGTATCTCCAAGCAGTAAATGGATGGTGCTGCTTGCGTAGCTAAGAACTACCACATCGAATTCTTTGTTATTTCTGAAGTGACCCATTGTTGCAGAATAGGAATCTTTTCCGCTTTTGTAAGCGTTTGGTGCAGTAAAAGGATTGTTGCACACAGGTACTATAAAAGAAAACAACAGATACAAGTACAGTCAATTAAAAAGATCTTGACGGTGTGAGTGTATACACGACTATGTCACATCAACATCCACACTCGAAAACAAACTGCTATACCTTTTTAATGTGAAAATAATATTGAAATCATACCTGTGGAATTATTATTTTTCGTTTTTGTTCCTAAAATAGCGCCAACAATAATTGTTCCTATCAAAACACTAGCCAATAAACAGATTAGCATAATGTACTTTTTCTTTCCATACCACTGACGTCTTATAAAATTTAATAAAAACTTTCATAAAAAATATCATTAGGAGAAAATTAGATTAGACTTACGTTTTTGAATAAAGATGTGCACCTAAATCAACAAGGAATATTATAAAATTAAATTAACTGTTTTGAAATACCTTCAAATGGTGGCTGTAATAAGACTTTCGTGGGTAGAACTTGTTTCAAATGAATTACATGAAGATCTGATGCTGCACTAAATTGTGATTGAACTATCATTTGTGTACCTGGCAAAAGAAGAATTTCATCTTCATTAATGAATTGTGAATGAGCACGTATTTTTCGACCATTAATAGATTCTACAGAAAATAATGTTCGATTACCAGTTTGACCAAGATAAATATTATTTTCAAGTACAGTTAATTCAGTTGTACATGATGAAAATGACCACCAAGTCATCAATGTACCAGGTGGAAAATTCGCACTTAAATCTTTGGTTACTCCTCTCCAAATAGTTAATGGTGGAACACATGGCAATTTGGCTAGAGCAGTTACAAATAGTTTCAGATATTTGAAATAAGGACGAAGGAGATTACGATTGTCTTGCTTCAATGTACAATTGAGCATCGAATAAAGACTTCGATGAGGATGCTTCCATTCCATCGTATAGAGACGAATTGCAGCACTTTCATCAATTGTTAGTCTATCAGGTGGTTGTTCCGGAGTTTCGCTGACAGCCATTTCAACGTACGCCGATAAATTGTAAACAATATTATTGAGTGGAATGCATGCTTTCAAAAGTGGTAATAGTGGTTCTTGAGCATATTCAATAATAGGATCTAAGTTAGCTTTAATATCATGAATGATTGTCGCCGATGTCGTATTTGGGTTTTTACTAACGGTGTCAACAATTCGACAATTGTCTGTCATAGAAGTTCTGCATTTATTATTGGCCATAGTTAATGTTGGCGTAGTCTGTGCATGAACATCTCGGCTATTGGGTGTAACAGTTGTCAAGTTGAATGAAATTTCATCATCTGTCATTATCGTTTAATTCGAGTTTCTAAAGAAATCTATTAAATATCAGTTTTCAAGCAGAACGTAACAGACAGCTGATTCTTTCACAAAATGTTGTGGGTGTTAGAAGAGATTAATGTTCGCATCTGTACCTCACATCCACACCCTCAAGACTATAAGTTCCGCTACGAAAAGATGTGATTGGAATAGTGAAGAAAGAATTATGTATAAATAGTATACTAATACTTATCCTGTAAATACTGCAACAATTATTAAAACGTTCTACAACGCTTAATAAATTTTTACAATATTTTCAAACATACATATATATGCATACTGTAATGACAAATGTGTTAGTGAATTTTAACTTCTTTTCTCTTGCATATGATATGGTTCATTGCTTTTTCGATATCACATCGATAGAGGATTAAGAAGAAGATATATACATAGTATAGTCAGTTGACCGATGCAAAAGAAAAGAAGATAGGGATGACCGATACATAATGTACATATGAGATGAAAAAAGAAGCGTAGACGAATATATATATGATATGAATACGATTTTGAGGGTGTGGGTATGAGATTCACATCTTTATTTATTAAATTCTTCATTCTCCCTTTTTGACGAGATAAAAACGAGATGCTTAAACTGAGATAAATTTCATCAAGTACGTTCACGTACACTACAACTCACATCGTACAATATAGATTAATATACATTAAATTAAAATCAAAGATTGAAACTATATTTAATTTTATCTGTACAGTTTTAAATTTTTTTATTGATATTCGAAATCGAGCTAAGCAACTACTCTTCAAAACTTTCGTAAGTAGTATGCACAATATCGTACTATAGATTTTCAAAATGACAAAATATTTTTAGAAAACATGTTCTGTTTCGGAGGATATCTCAAATAATCGAATGATTTTTTTTTCTTCGATAATCATCATGGCTGAAGGAAAAAATTATCAAAAAACAAAATCTATATAGCGAACTACATGTGTCAACTAATTGAAAATGTTTCGATCATCTTGAGAGTATAAGTGTAGATATTATATTGTTTTTCTATATAAACGTTTATGTTAAAACCATCCGAATTTTTGTTTTCTCACCACTTTTATCCTTTATATTAATATATTAAGGTATATTAGTATATGTCGCTCAGCATTTTTATGTTTCTTCATTTCTATCTGCATACATTGTATATGGAAAATGATAAGAGGCACATCTAGCAATGGCGTAAGATACTGAAAAATAAAAAATATATCAAATAAGAAAAACAATTATACTTTTTCAGAAACTACACAATCTATTTATTGATATTTTGAAGTACATTAAAATTCATTCATTTTATATGTTTTAGGGTGTAGAATGAAAAGAACACCCACACCCACACCCTCTGTATGTTGCGGATATACTGAGATGTGTCAAACTATTTTCGATATGAAAGCAACTCTTGAAAATTATTAATTGTGAAAAAAGTTAATCTGTGTAGTAGATAGTGTCAAACGTCAAAGTATCACTTTATTATTTCATATATAAATTAAAATATTTTAATTGAAAATTCATTTTATGGTCTTTTTTTTGTAATAAAATATACAACTTTGGCTGGGAAAAACTGAAAATTCTCTAAAAGTGGAGAATTTTCACAACCTTCCACACAGCCGATAGTCGGCACATCCCTGACAAAACATTTAGTGAAACGAAAAATAATAACGGAATAGAATGTATAGTTAGTCTACGGATGACACGTGGAATACACGTTTGTTCGTATCAAATTTGATAAGATACGATGGATCATGATTGAGTTCTGCATTCGATTGATATGGTCGAGTTATTCTATTTTTTGTCATTTTATCGAGTGTAGAACCAAAATCAATGTAACGATTATAAGGATTTTCGAGCCAGGCATGATGAATGAGAACTCTCGATAGTGGACCTATTGAAAATAAAAATAATCGATTTCTGTATCGCTTTGCTGCGTCAACAATTTTCCCAATTGCTTGCTCTCTAAACTTATCATTTTGCCACAACAAAGGTCCATTATTTGGATATAGCAGTATTTCACAAGTCCATGCATTTAGTTCAGTTAACTTTTGCGAACTAGTTTCATTGTTAATTATTAAAATAATCTTTTTTCGATGATCTCGAATAAGTGATTGATGCAATAATTTCGTAGAAGGATAATTAGAATTGACAAATAAATTTGTATATGTTAAATATTTTGGATGCTGATAAATCATTGAGAGAAGTTCATGAAAAGGACAAATATCTTTAGCATCATAAATTCCATAATAAAATGGACTAAATGTATTATATCGATATTTCGGATAATGCAATGCTTTTCTTAAATCTTTTCCTAATCTTGATTGACCGCCAGGCCACGACCATGGGTCAATAGACTTAACTGAAACTCCAAATAAAAGTTTCATTTCTTCATCTCCTAATCGAATGAAGGCTAGTCCACTATTATTATTCATTGAATCAGGATATGGACGACTGATTAAAGATGCCATGTTATAAAAATGATTCCGAAATGTTCCTATTGTCCAAGAACATTTGGACAATTCAATTTGATTCTCTGCACAGCAAGTTAAAATAGAATCCGCACATGTTATATTTACATTTGTTTGTCGATTTGTATGTTTTCCGGTATGTAAATTTAACTTATTAGGACATCCATAGAATGAGAGCATTATAAAATGATATACAATTAAGATCATCACCAACATCTTCCAATTGCACAGTACCATTTCGATTTTTCTACTAAGATAAGACCTTCTAACTTCTGCAATATTTGTTGGATTTGAGCCCTGATTCATTTTTATAATATAATCGAGGACAAATTAACTAATAACGTTTATATCTAAAATGAATACACTTTGCTTTTATACTTCAAACAAAGTTTCATAAAAAAACAAATTCCGAAAAAAATGAGTAGCTGCCTAATTCGAGGACATGAGTGTCAATTCAACTCTTTTTATTTATAAAGATGAACTAGAAGATTATTTAACTGTTGAGATTGCAAGTTACTAAATGTTTGATTAGTAAAAGTTCGAATAGTAAGTGAAGACATTGTCATGATTACTTCTGCTCTTCTCAAATCGACAATATTATCTTGTATATAGATATTGATAATAGGAATATTTCTTAAGAATGCTGCTGATACTAATGCAAACATATTTATTGTTGATGAAGAACCCAGAATAATTACTGCTGTACTTTGTGTACCTTGCATAACCATATCAAATCCATAATGCATTTCTGCTGCAGCAGTAATAGGTGTTGGATCTATATTAAAATCACGACCAATCATAAAATCATGAACTGATTGAAATTCTTCTCTAATTTTAATCATTTCTATATCTGTTTTTAACATATTTGAAGTTGCAAAATGTGTTAAACCATTGAGTTGAATCATTTGTTGTTGTACAAGTGATATTAATAACATAGTATCATATTGTGTTTCTGCAAATAATAATAATGATGGTTTTGATGATTGATAACTACTCATCAAACGATCACCACGCAACCATAATTGATCTCTAATAAATTTTCTACTTGTTGCAGTTCCATGTACTCGTCCAGTTGTATCTCCTTTATCACTAATATGTAAATAATCTTTTGTAAATGAATGTGTAGTATCATCATTCTTATCAACAGGCATAACAAAACTTCGAATATTAGCGTATTTACGTGCATTTGCACATAAATGAAAATCTTCACCTGTATTCCATGAATATATTTTATCATGAAACATAAGTTTAACCCATTCACTTTCCATAAACCAACTTCCACCAACGACATCGACTTCAATTATTTGATTACTTTTTGATACAGGACCATAATAATAATTTTCTGACGTAGGTGTACCTTTAGTTCCTAAAATACCTCGATATTCTTTTGTATTAATTGTATACATTGCAATTTCTAAATATCGTTTTTGCGGTATACAATCATCATCAAAAACAATGACATATTTTGTTCGACATTGAAGTGCAAGTTGAAATCTTCCAAAATATTTTAATTGCATTTGTCCCATACCAACGAATAACAATGAAGGTAATTTCATACAAAATTCTATACATTGTTCGGTACAATTAGATCTAATCTCATTATTACTGATGTTACATTTATTTTCTATACACCATTTATTACAATAATTTGATCCATTATAGAATAATGAACGCATTTCTTTAATTTCAAGATCAAGTTTATCTGCAATAGGTGAAGCAAAATGAATAAACCAAATCTCCTTTGGTGGATGTGTTTGTAAAAGAAGTGCTTCAATCCATCGTCGAATTAAACCTTCACGTTTATATAATCCAATAATAGCAGTAAGTGCAAATATATCCTCATTTTTCTTTGATATATTATATTGACTAGGAATTTTAAGTATTTCATCCAGAGTAAGAGCCGATTGTACTTTTGTTAAATTTATCATCATATTTCGTCTAATAGTATGTGATGATATATTTCTATATGAATAAACAAATTGAGCAATAGAATCTTGACGAAATTTTGTCATACATTGTATATTTGATTTATATTTTCCGGAAAAATAATTCTCAATAATAGTTGCAATTTGTTTTGATGCTGTTCCATCACCAAAAATATTTCTTTTTGATGTTTGATTTGTTATTTTAATATTTATTAATTCATCATTCACTGCTTTTATAATATCATCATAAAAAATCCCTATTTGTTTAATTGTACCAAGATAAATTCCTTCAGGTCTTTCAGTTGTCATTCTCATTAATATAACTGGTTTACCAATACTAACTGCTTCTTCTTGAATTCCACCTGAATCAGTCAGAATTATATCTGATTCTAATAAAACATATCCAAATATATCATACGATATTGGATCAACAATTTTAACATTATCTAATTTATTTAAAATTTTCAATACGACATTTTTAACATTTGGATTTGGGTGAGCAGGTAAAATAATTAAAATATCTTTAGTATGTTCATCAGCTATAGTTTTTATAGCACGACACATATCAGATAAATATTGAAAATT